GTGCGGTGCAGATCTAGCAGCATTACGCTTGACCCCTCGGATTAGACTGGATTACCAACAGGACTGTTGGGCAACAGAAACCCCAAAGCTGCAGGTTCTTCTCACCATTATTCCACTGAAAATAGTGTGATTTATTACAGATAATCAATAGATCCCACTGGTTTAGTTTATCTTGCTGTTTAGTTCCAGTTTTACTGCTAAACTCCTGAAAAAGACATTTTTATTGTATTATAAAAGATTCAGTCGTTAAACTCTGAAAACTGGATAATTAGGTTATTAATAAATCATTTTAGCAAGAAGAGACAAATATTAAACATTTTCTATTCTCTTTAGTGATTCTCACTTTAAATTCATGCCTCATCATTAATATACATTCATTAAAAACTTAGTTTCAGTTGTTTTTTGAGTTGATCTCCAATCAGACCTGCTGCCCAACGGGCTTTAAACGTCCCTAAATTACAAATAAGGTTCTGGAGGACTAGAGAATGAAAGTCCCCGAGTCTGCAGAACACAACAGCTCCAGCTTCCAGGTCATGCCCTCTCTGCGTGGCTAGGGGGCGCTGCAGGAGCAGACACTGAGTCCAGGAGAGTCCTGACCCTGAACAAGCTTTGGGTTGGAAACATGAAAGCATTCCTTTCTGTTTGCAGACTTTATCCGTAATGCACGATAAACTTCCAGTCGATGCCATTAAAGGCTGACTTTTAGTCATTTTAACACAAAGAACCTCAGAGACAAGTCACGTGGATGTGAGACGAGTCACGTGGATGTGAGACGAGTCACGTGGATGTGAGACGAGTCGCGTGGATGTGAGACGAGTCGCGTGGATGTGAGACGAGTCGCGTGGATGTGAGACGAGTCGCGTGGATGTGAGACGAGTCGCGTGGATGTGAGACGAGTCGCGTGGATGTGAGACGAGTCGCGTGGATGTGAGACGAGTCGCGTGGATGTGAGACGAGTCGCGTGGATGTGAGACGAGTCGCGTGGATGTGAGACGAGTCGCGTGGATGTGAGACGAGTCGCGTGGATGTGAGACGAGTCGCGTGGATGTGAGACGAGTCGCGTGGATGTGAGACGAGTCGCGTGGATGTGAGACGAGTCGCGTGAATGTGAGACGAGTCGCGTGGATGTGAGACGAGTCGCGTGAATGTGAGACGAGTCGCGTGGATGTGAGACGAGTCGCGTGGATGTGAGACGAGTCGCGTGGATGTGAGACGAGTCGCGTGGATGTGAGACGAGTCGCGTGGATGTGAGACGAGTCGCGTGGATGTGAGACGAGTCGCGTGGATGTGAGACGAGTCGCGTGGATGTGAGACGAGTCGCGTGGATGTGAGACGAGTCGCGTGGATGTGAGACGAGTCACGTGGATGTGAGTGCATCATTATTTGTTTGCATCAAGCCTTTAAAAACAGACGTGTTAGAGTGAAGGTGGAGTTGTATTTGACGTCCAGTGAAGGCCTCTATGCAGATAACCAGTGGCTTGTTGGTTTCCAGTGACATGAAACCTGAGACTAACTCGTGTCAACAGTCGGTAACACGCCAAAGCAGAAGGATCAATAACCCAAAGCTGCCATGACACCGTTTTCCTCTCCTCTCCAGACCGAGGCCCAGTCCCAGGACTCGCCCGGCGGTCTTCAGCCAAGTGCACTTGGAGTAAGTGTGCAGTAAGGCTTCGAGTGCGTGGTTCACAAGAGTGCAAATGATAGCTGAATTGAGACGTGGAGCATTGCGTCATCAGTCACAGCGCATGCCGGGATGCTTTCCGCTGCGATTAAAAAAAACTTTATTATCAACTTTCAAACTAACAATTGTTTGAAATAAATTTACATTCGTTGCTGCTTCGACTAAAACATTCAGAGCATCAACTGGTCGTCCTAAAAGTTCATTAGAAAATACAAATTTACTGAAGAGGAACTTGAGCCTTTTCTCCCACAGCAAAGGATTGTGGGTAATACCCTCCACCCAAGTCCGGATCAAGGGTGCAAAAGAGGCGTGATCACCCTACGCACTCGCGCGAGTGTGGAAGCGCGAGGAATGGTGATCGTGTTGTGTTCAGGGCCTGTGGGAGAAGTGGGCAACGCCAGCACTTGAGTTAAAAGTTAATTTCCTGCGTTATAAGGTGTGTTTTTATAACTTTTATAAATAACTGGGGCTTTGATTCGTGTTTAGGAACACATGTAGGATGCGTTAATGGTTTCAGACACGTGGACGAAGAATTTCCAGCCAGACGCAACGCCGAGGATGCACAGGAAGTGCTACCTGTTGACACTGCTACTCATTTTAGGCCCGCTCTCAAAACTGGCACTTCCACCCTTGCTCCCTTCAGCTGGGTGATCCCGACCAGGGGTGCGAGTGCGTAGAGTTTACTGATTGATCACGCCCCTTTTGTGCCCTTGATCCGCACTTCACCCACTTCAGTCCGCATGGATGTAAAATTATTTAAATAACTGTGTGAAAGTTGTTAGTGAAGGTTTTTTTAGTTTCACAGCGACCAGCATCCCCGCATGCGTTGCAATCGATGACACGATGCTCGCTGTCTCTACTCTGCAGTTATTAGCACACTTGTGCACCATGCAGCCTTACAGCACACTTCCTCCACGTGCACTCTGCTGAAGAGCACAGGGCGAGTACTGGGACTGGGCCTCGGCCTGTGTTTGTAAAAAATGTCATAAATGGTATAATGTGGGAATTTGTGGAAGCGTAATGGCTTCTGTACTTAAATAACACAAACTCCTGATATTTAAACAGTTTTAGACATGTTACACTTTAGCAGCACGCGGGTTAGCCTTTAGCTTAGCCTTTAGCTTAGCCTGTCCACAGAGCTAGCTGGTGAACTGATTTCTAAAAAGTCAGAAACACATTTAAAAAAACTAGATTAAAAAAACCATCATTAGATCTGTGAATGCAGCATTAGTGTTCCCCTGGCACTTGTACGCTGTGTGCGTGTGCGCGCGTGCGTGTCTGTGGGGGTGCGCGTGTGTGTGTGTGTCTGCGGCATGTGCGCCCCCCCTAGAAAAGTTGCTGCGGTTTGAATATTCAGTCAAACCACATATTGATCTTTATTCTAGACATAATTGTAAAACAAAATAAAAATTATACAATTAATGAGTAAATAAATAATCAGAATAAAAAAGAAATTCATGTTTCCGCTGCTCAACATTATAAAAAGTTTTTACCTCTGTAGGTGTTGTTTTTGTGAACACAGCAACAGGTGAATGAACCTAAAACAATAAATTTTAAATACATTTTGAATAACTGAAAAGTATTTTTCTGAAATGTTTGTGTTTGTAAAACTGAAGTTAAATGTTTTGGAGACGTAGAGCTTTTTAATAAAAATGAATAAAAGTGTAACACGTCGCCACCGGCTGAACTCTCCCAGAGTTTCCACTAACACCAGTTTGGTTTGCCACCCCAAAACTTTTTGGGCCATCTGGCCCCCCTATCTAAATTTTCTGGAGGCGCCCCTGGGTGTGTGCGCGTGGGGTGCGCGCGTGTGTGTGTGTGCGCGCGCGTGTTTCGCTGGAGGGGGTGACGGCTCGTTCCTGGAAGAGCCCGGTCGGCCTGCCCGCAGAGTCACTCACATTCCTGGCTGGGATTCAATGACTGAGCTAGACACACAAACACAGGGGGAGGGAGGGGGGAGGGCGCGAGGCAGAGGGGAGGAGGCAGCGCGCGCCAGCAGCATCTCCAGTCAGAGGGAAGTGCGGGGGCAGGCGGACCTGATCGCTGCGGTCCTCGACAGCAGAACCAACCTGAATTCGGGATCTGTGCTCGCGCGGGTTTGCCTCTCGTGTCCCGCTTCTGGAAGTTTCCACCGGAACTTTGCGCCCTGTGGAGTTCGGACTCCTGTCGGACATGGACGGGCTGCGACCCTCTGGCCGGTGTGCGCTCCGTAGGGCTGGCGCGGAGAGGACTGGTGTCTAGAGCGCTGCGCTCGGATTCATGTTGGATGAAGCTTCAGCAGCTCCACGCAGCTCCACGCAGCTCCACGCAGCTCTGGGACACCGCGGATTTACCAGCTCGAGAAACGGATCGACCCTCGCGACTCCCGGCCAGCCAGAAGAAGGATTTTCGCTTCCAAAGTTGTAGGAAAAACATGGAGACTGTAAGTCGGCAGAGCTTCCAGCCTCATCCGGGACTGCAGCAAACTCTGAAGCAGTTCCACCTCAGCTCCATGAGCTCTCTGGGCGGACCGGCGGCGTTCTCGGCCCGGTGGCAACATGAGCTCCTCTTCAAGAAGGACGGGAAGGAGCCCGAACCGGTCCTGCAGCATCTGCCGCAGCCCGTGATGCCCGGTCCGCTCTTCATCCCGTCGGACCGCTCCACGGAGAGGTGCGAGACGGTCCTGGAGGCGGAGACCATCTCCTGCTTCGTGGTCGGCGGGGAGAAGCGGCTGTGCCTGCCGCAGATCCTCAACACGGTGCTGCGGGACTTCACCCTGCAGCAGATCAACTCCGTGTGCGACGAGCTGCACATCTACTGCTCCCGGTGCACGGCGGACCAGCTGGAGATCCTCAAAGTCATGGGGATCCTGCCCTTCTCGGCGCCGTCCTGCGGCCTCATCACCAAGACGGACGCCGAGCGGCTGTGCAACGCCCTGATCTACGGAGGCGCCTACCCGCCGCGCTGCAAGAAGGAGCTGGGCTCCGGGTCCTTGGAGCTGCAGCTCACCGACAGGAGCTTCAAGGTCTACCACGAGTGCTTCGGCAAGTGCAAGGGCTTGCTGGTGCCGGAGCTGTACTCCAGCCCCAACGCAGCCTGCATCCAGTGCATGGACTGCAGACTCATGTACCCGACCCACAAGTTCGTGGTGCACAGCCACAAGGCGCAGGAGAACCGGACGTGCCACTGGGGCTTCGACTCTGCCAACTGGAGGGCGTACATCCTCCTGGGTCAGGATTACACAGGGAAAGAGGAGAAGGTCCGCCTGGAGCAGCTCCTGGACGACATCAAGGAGAAGTTCGACTTCACCAACAAGTACAAGAGGAAAGCTTCATCCAGGGTGAGTCCGACCTCCTCATCTGGTTCTGGAGGAGGAGAACCCTTTTCTGTGTGGGTCCTGGTTAGCTCTGACCCAGTTAACCAGTGTGTGTGTGTGTGTGTGAGCCCGCATCATCACCCCAACCCCTCCATCACCATATTGCTGCTAATTGAGTCTCATCCAGCCTCTGGTGGCTATAAAGCCATTCTTTACCCTCTGGTGTCGTTTTATTGGCTTGTACAGTAAATACAAGTGTGTGTGTGTGTGTGTGTGTGTGTGTGTGTGTGTGTGTGTGTGTGTGTGTGTGTGTGTGTGTGTGTGTGTGTGTGTGTGAGATAAAGGTCCCTGTGGCCGTCTCCAGTCTGACTTCCTGTGCGGTTTAAGCCTTTTCTGCGTTTTTAGACCCGACATGTTTGCACCAACGTGTTTGAACGCGGCTGCTTGGCGTGTTCCTGGTTCGGCCGCTGAGACGTAAAACTTCCACACACTTGAATCCTTCATTTTTCCTGGCAGACTGGCTGTTGTGTGTGTGTTTGGAGCCGTGGAGGTGTGAGGAGGAGTTTCTGGAGCCAGGCCCACCCCTCACAGCAAAAGCCCATTTGCATGAACTGTTACACATCGGTGGAGCGGATGAAGCGGGGTTTAGGAGTATTGTGGTGGAAACATAATATGATCCCAACAAAAGGGTCATTCAGCTAACACGGGACCACCCACCACCCCCACCGGTCCCTTCCTCCCGTCTGACCATCGGATTGAAACTGCAGCTCTTTCCTGGAGGCAGCCCTGTTGGTGGAGCTCAGAAAGCAACAGCAAACTGTTTACAAGCACTCCTCCTCCTCTCAGGCTGCTTTCAGAGGAATCTCAGGAAGAAAGGGAAAATCGGGACAACCTCTTGTAATCCAGACCAATGCCAAAGTCCTGCGTGAATGCCCACCGCTGGCACACACTTCCATTCAGGCGGGAGTGGGCACACCCAAAGGACCTCTGCTTTCAGGGGCCTCCTCCGGCTGGGAGGAAAACTCGATCCCGGGTTTTAACTCCTCTCCTCTTTTTTCCGAGGCACTCTAATGAGGAGATGCTTTCTGGGTGGTAGCCGAACCTCGGACTGAAGGCTTCCCTTTGTCAGCACTTTTCTGGAGGAGCTTGTTGGACGGCTCAGAAATAGACGGCGTCTTCGAGTGTCTCTGAATCTTAACGAGGCTGCTGCAGAAGTGTGAGCAGCAGTCTCGTACGCAGACAGACAGGAAGTGAGATTGCTTCACTTCCCTCCCTGCAGACGCTCTTTTGAAAGTATGAGACGTGCTCATGTCTGACTTCCAGAGCAAATGTCACCGTTTCTGCAGCTGCTCCTGTTGTGTGAGTTAGCTCCTGCTCCCGATGCAGGAGGATGCAGCTCCTGCTCCCGATGCAGGAGGATGCAGCTCCTGCTCCCGATGCAGGAGGATGCAGCTCCTGCTCCCGATGCAGGAGGATGCAGCTCCTGCTCCCGATGCAGGAGGATGCAGTCTGCATAAACGCAGCGAGCTGAGCGGTGACTGCAGGGTTGTTGAAACGAGCGGTGTGTTCTGGGCGTGGAGCGCCTCAGCACGGTTCCTGCCAGGCCTTGGCTGCGAGTCTTCTGGTTTCTGGCAGCGACGCATGTGGGTGGCACACATAATCAGTGGCTTTCCGCATCAGGATGTTTAGATAAGAATAGTGGTGCAGATTTAGTGCTGCTGACTTCATAACTGGCCCCAACATGAGGCCATTTCTCCACAGTCGGCCTGTGAGGACCAGATATGAGGAGAAACAACCGGGGCTGTTTTTTCTCTCCTTGGGCGACTCTGCAGACGTGGTTTGTTGTAGAATCAGACGAGATCTCCTGACTGCAGGGTTCTGACGGGTTCTTCATCACGGTCGTTTAAAGTTTCTTTAAAGAGCAAGTCCCCCTCAAACCAACTTTGTTTTGTTGATAAACGATATAAACGAGTGTCTAATTGCTCCGTAGACACGTTCAGTCAGTAATTTGGCACTTTAGTTAATCTTAGTTAAAATTTAAATAATCTGCCTAAAACTGTCAGCGATGCACCGTCGTCAGGCAAAAACTCAGCACTGCATTTGAATTTAAATCTGCCATCGCTATTGGCTAAGAGGTACATTATGATGTTAGATGGTACATTGTGATGTCGCAATGTCGTGAGTGTGTGTATCTGTTAGTGGCTCCGCCCTCTCGGTCTGCTAGGCTTCAGCATTTGTTGCATTTTTCAAACAGGAAGTGGTTGTTGAGTAAGAATCTGGCAGGGGGTGACTTGCTCTTTAACAAAACCTCCTCCTCCATGAAGCCCCAGAAAAATCCAAACTCCCACACGACCATCAAACTCCTGCTCTTCACAGATAGTCTGTTTGCTTTCAAATGTGTGGTTAACATGGTGACCCAAATGAGCCACTACCTGCAGCATTAACATTGTTTTTCTTCAAAAACTTCAAGTACAGGGTTATTCAGTTCCGGTCCTGGAACACATTTTAGCTTCAGCTCTGCTTCAACACACCTGATTTCAGTCAGCAGGTGATTAACAGGCTTCTGCAGAGCCTGATGAGCTTCTGCACCACTGAATATAGTGTGTTGGAGCAGAGAAACCACTAAAACGTGCAGGACACCGGCCCTCCAGGCCTGAACCTGGATAGCCGTGCTCTGTTTTATGAAAACTGAGGCCTTTTGTTGCAGCCCAGGTGGGGCTGTAGACGTCTCTGTCCATCCAGAATGTTTTAGCGTCCAGATTAGCTCTCGTTCTTTTGGTGTCCACCTCTTCTCCAGCTGCTGCTGCTCCAGAGTGGTGAAGAAGCTGGCCGATGTTTGGAGTGGAGCGTGTTTCCGCTTTTTACCATTAAATCTTTAAGGGAAATGGTTTTTCCGGCTTGTGCAACGACTCATTTTCCTGCCGGAGTGGTGTGTGTGTGTGTGTGTGTGTGTGTGTGTGTGTGTGTGTGTGTGTGTGTGTGTGTGCTGCACACATGTTGTTGTTTGTGCTGACACCCAGCACATTCCTGCAGGCGGCTGCCGTGTGTCGGCCGGTTTATCGCTGTAAATAAAAACGAGGCGGTGCAGTAAGACGCTCTCAGAAACCCATGCTGGATGTTTGTGGTTGCTGGATTTTCTTCCAGAGCAGCAGAGACGCTCTCAGAGCTAAAACTTCCCCTTTTACTTCCACAACCACCACCCCCGCCCCTCGCTGCTGCAGCTCGGGATATCTGGCCTCCAGCTGAAGGGGCCGCTTGTTTCGGGGGGGGAGGTGGGGCTTTGGTGGCTCAGCTCAGAGGAAGTGAAGTCCCAGAGGGGCTCCAGGCCCACGTCCTGTTTCATATGCAGGAGGCAGAGCTGGAAAAAGCCTGCAGCCTGCCAGCCACAGGACAGCAGCCGGGAATGGCTCCTGCAGCCCGATGAACAAACACTCTGTTTTATTTTTATGGCTGTTTGGTAAAAAATATAAAATTAGCTGCAGAACTTGATTTCATGCTGACGGCATTGATAGATTATTTTCCACGTTCCTAGTAACAGAACGTAATCCACACGAGCAGTAGAACAGCTGGACACAGCTGTAATAGGTTTTCAGCAGAGATGTCCCGATACAACCTTTTCACTTCTGCTACGATGCGATGTCGGTCTGATACGATGTCTGTCGGTCCGATAAGATGTCTGTCCAATACGATGTCTGTCCTATACGATGTCGGTCCGATACGATGTCTGTCCAATACGATGTCAGTCCTATACGATGTCGGTCCTATACGATGTTGGTCCGATACGATGTCGGTCCGATACGATGTCTGTCCAATACGATGTCAGTCCTATACGATGTCGGTCCGATACGATGTCGGTCCGATACGATGTCAGTCCAATACGATGTCAGTCCTATACGATGTCGGTCCGATACGATGTCAGTCCTATACGATGTCAGTCCTATACGATGTCGGTCCGATACGATGTCAGTCCTATACGATGTCAGTCCTATACGATGTCGGTCCGATACGATGTCGGTCCGATACGATATCAGTCCGATACGATGTTGGTCCGATACGATATCGGTCCGATACGATGTCGGTCCGATACGATGTTGGTCCGATACGATATCAGTCTGATACGATGTCGGTCCGATATGATATCAGTCCGATACGATGTCGGTCCGATACGATATCAGTCCGATACGATGTTGGTCCGATACGATGTTGGTCCGATACGATGTCGGTCCGATACGATATCAGTCCGATACGATGTTGGTCCGATACGATGTCAGTCCAATACGATGTCAGTCCTATACGATGTCGGTCCGATACGATGTCAGTCCTATACGATGTCAGTCCTATACGATGTCGGTCCGATACGATGTCGGTCCGATACGATATCAGTCCGATACGATGTTGGTCCGATACGATATCGGTCCGATACGATGTCGGTCCGATACGATGTTGGTCCGATACGATATCAGTCTGATACGATGTCGGTCCGATATGATATCAGTCCGATACGATGTCGGTCCGATACGATATCAGTCCAATACGATGTCAGTCCTATACGATGTCAGTCCTATACGATGTCGGTCCGATACGATGTCAGTCCTATACGATGTCAGTCCTATACGATGTCGGTCCGATACGATGTCGGTCCGATACGATATCAGTCCGATACGATGTTGGTCCGATACGATATCGGTCCGATACGATGTCGGTCCGATACGATGTTGGTCCGATACGATATCAGTCTGATACGATGTCGGTCCGATATGATATCAGTCCGATACGATGTCGGTCCGATACGATATCAGTCCGATACGATGTTGGTCCGATACGATGTTGGTCCGATACGGTTTCGGTCCGATACGATATCGGTCCGATACGATGTCAGTCCTATACGATGTCGGTCCGATACGATATTCAATTTGATTCAAATTCAAAGATACTTTATTAATCCCAGAGGGAAGTTAGAGTTTCAGTACACACAATTCTGACATCAGACAGACATACATAGACACATGACAAGAATTGGTGAC